GTCTCCAGATTGATAGGAAGTAGATCTAAATTATTGGAAGAAGAACTTAAAATGTATCAAGTTTTCATTGAGTTATTCATGCTTAGCTGGTGGCCAAGTTGCAACTCAAATGAACTGACTTTTTTCATAACCAGTCTAATATATCAATCAAATCTCAGTGTTTTGTTGGGGATCTTTTTCTTAAACTTTAGATCAGCTTCTCATATACCTGTCAATTCCAAGAAGATAAAATTTGAGCAAAAATACCACTCTGTATGAACTTCATTCGGAAACAACATTGCACTTTTTGCACACCAAATTGCATGCTTTTAAAATTAATTGTATGTGGAGTGGTACTTAATGTAGTTGATTATTGAAGTGCATATTCTAGTCCAACCTGTTGGATATTAATCTAGCTCAAGTCCAAGCTTTTGAAATGGATGGTATTATGTAGTGTTTAGGACTGATAGATAATACACACAATTTCTTGTTGTCTTGCTTCTCAAATACCACATCACCACAATGGATCCAGTATTATGCATGCCAAAATATGGGATCAAGCTCAATTGAACTAATTTTCAAAGGATTAAGTTTACTATATTGCCTCCTTTTGTAGCTTAATACCTCAGCAAAAACCTGAAGAACCCTTCCACAAAAAATGGCACCCAATGGACCAGTATTGCAGCCTGCAGAAATAATTTATATATTTTGAAAAAGGACCCCAGACACCCTTTGTCAGCTTTGGTATGATGGTATGGTATGGTATGAGATCATTTGGTATGGTATGAGATGACATGGTATGGTATGGTAACATGGTATTGGTATGAGTGGGATATGGTATGGGTTTTCCATTCCATGGTACCATGGTATTGGTATTGAGCTCATATACCACCCCGGAATGGGTACCCTCAAGGTACCCTAAATCAAGGAATTGATGTACCTCATAGGTACCCTAAAATGGGTGACTGAAGTGATGTGAACGATGGTGGGGGAAGAGAAGCAAGAGAGGAATAGGGTTGAGGGTTGTTGACAACGCCCAATCGAGTCTCAGCAAACACCGACACTTGATTTGTGTGGGCATTGTCAGTGTTCCATCAACAGATTCCGTTCCGGATGCATTCCGGACATCATTCTGTCCGTCTGATTCCAGGAACCATATCAGCGGAATTGGAATTCCGTTCTAGATTCCCCGGAATCACTTAATAAATTTGGCAGGCCCCTGTGCCAAATTTGATTCCTCTGGAATTCCGGGAATTGCCCGGATTCCGCCGGATTCTGGCAGGAATCAGTGGAGGACAATAAAGACCTCGCTCCAGTAGCCAATGTGAAACATTTGAGATTGTTCCAGCAAGACTTGTGTAGATGACATTAATGTTGTGCTGCTGCCAAAGGCAGCATGTCATTGGTAGTTGATTGGTAGTAGACAGTAGGTCTAATACATGAGCTGTAAATGTTGACCACTTTTCCAATGTTATCTACAATTTGCCTACAAATGTTTGAAGTGGTCCATGGAAGAGTAAGAGCAGGGAATTAGTAAAAAATTACCTTTGTTCACCATTGGCCTGGCCCTGTGAATGGCTTTCCATTGCATTTTTTGTCTCCTTCCCTTTAAGTTTTGCCTTGTAAGGCAATGTAGAGGTTGGCATTATGACTGCAATGTACATTCAAGCTCCCAACGACACAGTGATGCTGTTGTCTGAAAGATCTTGCATTGGAGTGCCTATTTGCTCACTCATCTGAGGATCCATGATATGAGCATTGAGACCTGGAGGTGTGTCAGGGATTCAAAAACACTCTGAAGGCTCAGCACCAACCTTGCCTAGAGGGCAGTGTTGCCAGTTGCATCAACCACAATGCATGTTCACACTCCTGGCAATGCCGTTATCTGAGGGATCTTGCATTGGGAGTGCCCATTCACTCACTCATCAGGAAAATCACTTCTTCCCTGAGGGTATCCAGGGTAGACCCTGGATACCCAGAGGCTGTCATGGAACTCAGGGCATCAGGTTGCCCCCAGGTACAGATTCCTTTTTTTGATTTCCCAGGAGCAACCTGAGGTTGTCCTGAGATGCGCTGAGGTTGTCCTGAAGTGTGCTGGGGCTGTCCTTAGAGAGCCCTGAAGCAGACCCTGGAGTTCACTCAACAGACAAACATAGTAGTATCAATAATTATTAAAGATGTATTTAAGACACATGGATAGAAGTAGATTAACAATTACTGTAAGTAACTAAGTAGAAACTACTTTGGATGGCAGATGTGTCAATAGTAGAATGCTGCTGAAAACCACTTGCTGAATGTGAAAGCAGAACTGCAGCCCAACTGCTTCAAACACATTGTCACGCCCCATGCCCACATTCTCCTACTCCCTCACTGTCCTGTACATTGTCCAAATCACGAGGTAGTGTTGTTTTGGCCACCCTACACAAAAATTAGTCATCCCTCTCCCATCAACATTGCTTTGTCACATGAAAGTCATTCCTTGCAGTCTAGCGGATTTGTTGTGAGTTCTGTGGAAAGCTACATGAGTGGCAACAATATCTATGAAGTTGTAAATGACTTACCATTATCCACACAGCTATTGTTGATGTGCTGCCCTTGGTTGACAGTCCCCCCAACCACCATACCACTTGAAACCCTCTCGCGTTGCTCAAGGCCATGGGTGATGTTGCAGTATTGATGGAACCGTGAACCTGAATGTTGGGGAAGTTCTGGGCATGAAAGTAGGTCAAGCCCTCATGAACAATGACCACACTGATTTACCAGCAAGTCAAGACCCTGCAGCATCATTGCAAGCAACATGCTGTCCTGCTGCCTGCCCATCGTCATGCTGTGTCCAATGGCAATGCCATGTTCTTGCCCTCACCGTCTTGTACACTGTCCAAACCATGAAGTAGTGTCATTTTGGATCCCTACTCATGAACATAGGCCATCCCTCTCCCATGAACATTGATTTGTTGGCGTAGAAGTTGGTTCTTATGGTCTAGGGGAATTTGGTGTGAGTTGTTTGGAAAGCTATGTGAGNCGGGATGACTTACCCGATGTCCAAACAGCTGTTCTGATGTGCCGCCCTC